CATGTCATTTCATAGGTTTACCACAGTTTGGTGTGATCACTGGTTGAGATCCTCACGATGTAATGAGGATCAGTTATAAATGAATGGCTTGAGAACGACGCAAGGCTGCGAGACGGACAGGATCGAAAAGAATGAAAAAACCAAGCGGTAAAGAGGATTCTGTATAATTAATTAAGGAAATCATCGAAAGAATGGAGCGGGGTGTGTCTAAGAACATCTACGTGGAAAAAGGCACAGGACGAACTGAACGCAGCACATTTCTACTATGCATTGAGAGACTGATGGGTACGAGAGACACTTCTTCCCGGCAGAAATCATCATCGAGGTAATTGAACTTATTAGAACTCACCAAACCTAGCTGCCCTTCCGATTCGGTGGAAATACGTTTCTAGATTGATAGCGGTCTCTAGATTCACTACCAAATTGACGTTGCTGGCATCAATGCCACGGGCGGTCAAAAAGAATAAAAAATACTACTTCAGATGCATCGAAATCTCTGAGACAGTTAATATCATATAAAAACTTACCAAGTCTGTAGAAACAAGAACTTTCAATTTGTTGTGTTTTAGCTTTTCAATCACAGAATCGCGTTCAGGTTGCGTCATCTGAGCAGATATGAAGGCAGCAAGAAATCCTTCTTTTTCTAGACGGGAAAAGGTTGGTTCACATCTGAAATACTCATGAAGGAGGAATGAGAATCCAGTGTAAAACGAATGTTTTGCAACCTACTGCTGATGAAGATTGCAGAAAACAAGACATTGATTGAACTGGATCGATTTCAAAAGATACACGAGGCAGTTTATGGCTGGCTGATCGCTTACCGNAAACAGAACATATTAATACACAGCGCTAATCCACAGAACCAACCAGAATTCAGACGCACCAATGAGGCGTCTCGCATGAATTTAGCCAATAATTTGTCCAAATTCCGTGGGTAGGTAGCCGAAAAGACTGCTACTTGACGTGAAGGCGGAAGAGCAGAAAACAGGTAGCTAAAGGGTATTCATTAGTAATGAAAGCTAGCGAAGTGAATAATCCGTAAAAGTGAACAGGTCAATATGGACACATTCTGATTTTCAGCAATCATACCAATTGAACAGCACAGAAATAAAAACTTTTTGCCAAAAGAAGATCGTATTGCCTTCTTAGCGCGGGAATGGAGTTCCGGAGAAGAAACCATTTTTTTACAACGAGAACTGTTTGTTAAGAGGTTAGATGTCGATAACAGCGACATGTATCCATACTGCCGTCATGACACTAGGTTGAGTGGGATTGCAGAAAGGGCTGCCTGATAATGTGGTAAGAAATGTGCCCATTTTTAACCAGTAAATATCATACATATGCTTTTGGAGAATGATTTTGAAAATTTTAGCTACCTGTTAACAATAAGGCACAAAACAATAAATGTCACCATATAATACAAACTACCACGGAACGATTAAGAAGTTCATTTGGTATTCATGTGATTTCTCCATAGTAATGACTTAAGGAATGTTTACAACATTGCTTTGTTGTTAATACGTTAACTACAAACATAGAGCACTCATACCCCAAATACTAAGCATTCTGATAATCGATAATCAGGACAGTTCCATGTATGAATGTTACCTAAGGATGTTATCCATAATGGTAAGAACTTAAAGCAAGAAGAACTTGGACAAATTGGTCTGGCAACGATAAAAGCAGATTTAACAATTTATCATGAAAAGTTAACCAGTTTTGCAGCAATGATAGGGAAACCATGGAGAAAGGCGCATTACACATTTGATTTCTGGTCTAAGAAGAACAGACGAGATGAACTCTTGTCAAGACTTTTTAGCACCCTTGAAAGTGACAGTTGCCCCAATTCACATTGGATCAATACGAGAGATTTCTACTTATTCGAATCGCGGTAGTATTCTGAACCGTTGATGCAGTTTTCTGTGATTTCGCTAAAGAACTGCTCTAGCAAGATGAGGGTGCATAATGTTGAAACCTTTCAATAATGATGTCTCCAGTTGTGAAGATTCTAGTGGAGTCAGAGCTAGATCTGGATGAAAGAACTTCAGATTCTCAATCTTTACCAGCGCAAAGATGAGCTTTGACCCATAGGAGGGTGGTTGTCTTTGATTTTGCGAAACTGTAGGAGGTAAGGCAGAATTAACACTCTCTGTGTCAGTGAATCCTTGACACATTCTTTTATGAACAGCCAGGTAGTGAGCGCATTCACACTCCGTGTCGGCCATTTTGTGGAGTATCAATAAGATTACCACTAGGTAATCGTTTTTGCCCTCATTGGACCTTCACCTCTTATTTTTCTTAAAATGGAAGTACTGAGCTGAGAACTTTGATTGATGTTCGTTCTTGAAGTTCCATACACTTTTAGGAATAGCTCTCTCCCAAAAACTCCCTCTCAGAATAAAGTTAAAGTGAGAATTTCGATCAGTGACCGTTTTACTGGTTCCAACATTAACTGAAGTGACCAGTCATATAAAATTTTATAATCACTTACAACTATGCATTTATCTATATATTTATCAACACTACTACTTCAATCAAAAACCCATAACACTCCAACAATTACATTGTGGATGGTTAAAGCATTCGTTTTTTTCAACGGCTGGAATTGAGAATTTGAGCATGCCATACGAGCGCGACAAAAGAGCAAACCTACTTGATGTCCTTCTGAAAGCACTCTTCCATAAGCTTGTCAGCTTCATCCAAAACGAATAGATCTATAGCCTTCATGTTAAGAGCACCACTTTGAGCCATTTGACAAATTCTTCCCGTAGTACCAACGACAATATGCGCACCCCTTTTGAGGGTCTGCACATCGAGATGGACTGGAGTTCCACCAACCAGAAGACTGAAATCATAATAGTGCAGGGCGTATGAACTCATCATGGCGAAGTAATCAAATTCGTCCAATACTCACGCGATACGAGTTTTGAAATGGGCGATCGTTTTGATTGTATCCTTGATCTGGGTGGCAATCTCTCTGGTAGGAGCAATTATGATTTTTTGTACATCATTCGATTGAAGGTTCAGGTTTTCAATAGCAAGTATAGCAAAAACAAGTGTTTTTCCGGTCCCTGACTTTGCCTGGACCAACATATCTGAAACACAGTTCTTTAATGCTGAAGACATATCAATAAGGAAACCGGGAATCCTACCTAATCCTGTCAGTCCTGTAGGAATAGCTTTCATCTGCACCGGAGATGGTATACGATATCCATGATTCTTGAGATTTGCCACCGTTGAAGGAGAAATCATCAAGGATTCAAACGTGCCTTGTGTCCTTACATCCTCGGTACGCAGATTTGGATCTATTTCGATGATTTCTTGAAATTCCATTAGTCATAAGGCGAGTGGCGCCGGTCCAATGACCTGTAGGCATTAAAACAAGCATTAGAAAGAACCGAGATTATTTTTGAGAGAACTACGACACTCGGAAACAAGTAGATACCGAAAAAGAAAGAAACAATGATAAGGAACGCCACCAGACACCCCGAGAACTGACGAAAAATAATAGCAACTAAAGGAAACCACGGTAGAGCACGAAATTCTCCGTATAGCGCGAAATCTCACCAACGGGTTATACTATACTTCCTCTCCCTATTCTTCTCTCTCCCAGCTTGATTTCCAGTGAAATACCGTCCACTCTCCCAAAATGACGGAGAATAGCTCTATACTTACTAAGTGGAGTCGGAAAGATTTCTGGAAGTCGATTGTTACGTCTATACCGAAGGCATAATATAATCTCGTCTATCTGAATTCAGCTGATCAGCTAACATCTGTTAGATTCATGCTGCACATGGCTTTTAAAGTTGACGTAGGGTATTTTTTTTCAGCTTGATGCTCAGATTTCTTCATGAAAGCTCTGTGAAATGATGATGTGACTGACGGTACAGGTGATTTGCTCTTTCTGGAATGAGTATGGCTGCATTCAGACTTTCCGTTGACGACATTTGACGGACACACGAAGCACCATTTCGCGTGGAGTGGTAGAACGGTGTCACAGAACCCGATTTAAAACTAGATTATTTGAGCTTCGAAGAGCTCAATGCACTTCAAGTTGCCTGTTCAACTTCAGTCCTTCGTCTACCAATTGTTATTACCTTTATCGCTTTTCAGTTAGGGTATGGTTAGATAGGTTTTTTTTCGCTCGTTGTAACTCGAGATCAGTGGTCAGGCTACGGAGTCTTCATCCGTCCTAGACCGTCTTCCAGGCACATCAGGGCTGAGGCCAATTTCACGGATACTATTTTTATAGTGGCACTGTACATACTAACTCATTGGCTGCTTTGAAACCTCAATGACTCACCCGACGGTCCTCTGTCCGTCCGACGCGTGCGTGCTGCGACGGCGGCGCCTGACCGTTGTTGTCAACACTAGACCACGTTCCAGCGCTGTCAACACTACTCTAGCGACCGCCGTCGCAGCACGCACGCGTCGGACGGACGGACGGTCGTTGAAGTCTGAAAGCGGTCATTATCTCGTCAATAGGCTCGCCGTTCAAGCGTAGTATGCATCATAATTCGTCGCTCATCGCGACATTCTGCACGTACAGGGATCCAACGATCGTTTTCTTTCCGCAACAGAAGCTTTGCAATGATTGCTATCTGTATTATCTAATAATGGTGATAGATGGGCAACGTAGTACCTACAAAATCTCAACCATTCCTTGTATATCAGCCTTTGTTCCAAAGAAGTGGGGATAAGGCATTTTCAGAAACAGAGGACAGAGAGTTGAAAGTACTCTCGTTTCGGGTTGGCGGTACTCCTCCCCGATTTTCCACGGCGACCGGCAGTGTTTCCCCTGCGACTACCGTACCCTTCCACTGGGGATTCAAACCCTTCCCTTCACAGTGCGTGGCGAGCGCGACGTGATTTTCGGGGAGAAGATACCACACCCTTTGTTCCATGAGAGAGTGCAGACGATAGGAGAAAAGGCTGTTGGCGAAAGGTTTCGCAAAATGCACCGCATCGTACCCTTGAGTTGAGCAGTAGTCCACATGGATAGCCGAGTGGGCAGCCGCCTCAAGCGAAACTGCGCCATGTTGTGGAGGTCCGAATGAAATTAGGGTCAACAGATGTGCCAGCTAGCCCATGGGGTGTGCAGTAATCCTAGTTTTATGCAATAATCTGAAAACTTTTACGGGCCGATTGGAACTTATATACGTCAGAAACACTTCAACAACTGCACTGAATTCTCTATACAAAGATACCTCTGAGGATCGAAAACGACAATTTTTGAAGTGGAACCGAGAATTCCATCACAATAAAAAACTATTCACTTCACTTTATTAATTGAGCAGATTGAGTTGAAGAAATGAGGATCAACAAATAAACCCGAAAACAATTTGATACAATGGCGATCAGTTAATATCAGAGATCCTGTGGAGTCACTACCAAGCGTGATCGCTCTGTCTCAGTGGTTCGGCCCAAAATTCGCGATCGAGCCAAGTCCTCCTCGATTTTATCCGAATTGCATCGGCTCAGCTTGGCGGACAAGTGGCTAAGCGGATACCATATCAGGGTAGGGGAGAGAAACGGTAGCAATTGTTGTAGATCAGCATCTTCTGGTAAGGCCGTGAAGAGAATATTCTGGAAAGAAAAATTGATAATAATCGATAGGTTAAGGTATTGCTGGAGATAAAAACTAACTCGTTTAGCTTCCGGAATGTAGGGCAGAATATTACAGCAATAGTGTATGATAACGACGTAAATCTAAAAGAAATCTTTTATAAACTGTGGCTAAACGTTCTGACTGCAGAGGTTTTCAAATTGAAAAGCCAAAAATTTGATGTGACCAGCAGCCGCGCTCCCGCACCGCACCTGCTGGCCACGCCCACTTGTTGTACCATTCCAATTGGAAACGGAATTTTGCAGGAAAGTTTGAAAATTCGTCAGAAGCTACTCACTAGATTCCTCGAAACAGCTTTACTTGACTTGAGTTTGGCTTTTGAGGTGATAAACAGTTGGAAATAGACGGAGAGCAGAAGCGGTACAGCAAATTCGAAAGCGAATTTCGCCAATACAGTAACTGGATATAATTCGGGCTTCAGGTTACATCGGTACGTATGGATCAACATGATGTATTGATCACTATCGATCTGATCTTTACGGATCAATTCGAGCTGAAAAGTGAACGGCATGTTTGGATTTTTCGAAGAAATTCTGAAGAGTTTCAGCACCTCTGCAGCCAATCCCTGAGGGATAACAATGACCAGCACGAGAACCGTCAAGAAGGAGAAGGTCAGTGATATCAGAATTCCTTCGTAACGTGTCAGTCGGTTTGGCCGGCTCAGAAACATCGCCTGAAAGGAAATTCTCGGTTGAACAGATATGCGTTGAATTGAGAATCGAACCAATTGCTCACCACAAACCCATGAAGAGCTGCTATGGTCCATGGGATGACAACACGCCCGGCGGTCGTGAGAATGTGATGAGCATGACATGAGACTCGGCCAAACATCCATATTCGTACCAATTTTTCTAAGATCACTGACGGTAGACCTAATGGGACCTGAAATTGAAGATTTACATGACATTTGACAGAACCATGACTTTTTCCGTTTGCGTTTCCATCACTTCGTTTGCAGAATTTCAAGGTCTCCACAATAAGATGGCATATTCATTGTCATATTTATGTTGTCAATAATACCATAAATCATAGGAAGTGATATTATTGATTGTTTACCCTATTTACTATATTTTTTGATCAATATCCGACTTATTCGACTTCTGTTTCAAGTGCTTTTTTTGGGTAAAGCAAACTTTCGAGAGCATACTTGTTAGTTCTGTTACATGGGCTACCTAATTGATTCTTACAATTAGATATCATAAACACGAGCTAAGTACCCCAAGAGAGCACTGAAGAACTAACTTTACCAAACACAATTTCCCTTCCCAAATAGCTACTCAGACCATTAAAACCTTTTGAGAACAAGCTGCTTAAAGGCACTGTTCGCGATGATTCAATGGGCGGGTGTGTCGATGACGTGTCCACCTCTCATTCGATGTCACGTCANCAATCTATGCTTCCGCCTTTCGAATAAAGACGGGTACCTCAAAATTATCGTGAACTGTGCCTTTAATGATTGAAATGATGTTTCGAAATCATAGTTCAAAATAACAAATAGACTTACTAAAAAATTGATGAACAGAAGAGTAGCTATGAAGCACTGCGGTGGAATCTTCCACGTCAAGCGTCTGGTGTAAACCTAAATGAGTAATTACATATAAAATAGTTTTTCATGTATAACTTACATGATAGCTACGCAATCGGATAAGCAAACAATTAAATCCAGAGTAATTTCATGTATTATTATTTTTTTTAAGACCTTATGGATCACCAGTATAAGAAGCGCCCCTTCGAATGCAGGTCCCATGTTTACGTCTCGTCTGTGGGATACCTACAAGTCGAAAGCCGAAAGGCTGAGCTCATAGACTCATTCCCTGCCTGGTTTAGAAAGATGAGTGCACACCACTACTCAAACTTAATTTGTGGAAAGCTAGCGACCAACTCCAATTTGGTCCACTCGACGATTGGCGGAATAGTAAGAAATGAACCAGCTGGCACCAACAATCCATTGGAACTAAGCCATGCTTCCGATTTGACCTCGAATTTATGCAATTTCAAAACCGATCCGGTGTTCTACTAAGAAACTAAGGGCTATTAAGGAGAAAAATCGAGAACTTAACTCAGACTCAGAGCTTAATCCCAAAATCAACCGGAAGGCCTACCCTACAAACTTGAAGAGAAATACCTAAGAGAAATACTCTCACAGAATCAGGGACGATTCGCTTCAACAGTCATGTAACTGACCCTGCAGATAATGAAAGGAATGAAAACACTACCTGTAAAACCATTTGACTGGCATTACCACAAATGGCGATCGTCAAGCATCCAACCAAAGCGACAGAAATCGCCAGTGCAGCTGAGGAAGGTTCTTCCGTGGGGGGTAGAAATGGCAGTACTGGTGGACCTTCACCGCTATCTTCCATATCCGTGTGATTCAACATAGATTCGTCCTGCATTCTGGAAAACTAGACTCTTCAAAGTGGACTAAGACAACAGAATAAACGATTCGACCGACGAAATAAGCGAGGAATATGATAAACCTAATCTCGAATAGACAGAGTACAAGAACCAGGAGCGAAATAAAGACGATGCGGTTCAGGAGGTAACTACATAATAGTATCCAAACCGAAATCAGCAAACTATAAAAAAAAGGAGTGAGGAGTGGCCAGACGGTAAATGACCAAAAATGAACCAATGAATAACAAGAATGTTGTAATGAGTTGGACGAAACGAAGTTAGCCTCGTAAGGGGCCTGAGCCCGAACTAATGCTTTCCCAAGGTAATTGCGAGTTTGAGTCTCAAATGAGGTCGAACAATCCGGGAAACATTTCTATTGCGGAACCAAAACGAAAAACAAGGGAACGAAGAGTACCTAGCGTAATTAGAAAGAGCCTTGACATAGACTCAAAATCGGACTTGAATTCTGGAATGTCACAGTGTTTTCTAACATAATTACAGGAAGACCAACAATTAATTCAAAACAAGGCCATGAAAAAAAAAAGAAATTGATTATCTGCTTATAATTATTTCTAAATTCGCTCGATAAAAGGGCTTGAGACTGCTACATCAGGGGTTCACTTCTCCTTAAGCAGGGAGCCTTCGATATCTCAAGGAAAAACTTTCAGAATGAAAAGCATCAACATCAAGCCGCTGTTCAGGCACGAAACACATTCAATCACACCTACGATTTTGATAGAAAATGAATGACATGGCGCACAGCTGAGGAGTTGAGCCCATTTTTCTAAGTTGTCAAGCTTCGAAAGGCATCTACTTATGACCAATTTTTTTC